TCAGACAGGAGTCAGCTTAATTTCCAGGGCTGGTACCTGCGGTTATTCCACAGGCTAGTTAATAACATGTCGGGCAGGAAATCCAAAGTGTGGGATCATTTTGAGAAGGTGAAGGACGAACCCAAGGTGATATGTAAACTCATCTTCATTGGTCGACTACAAACATGACGTATCATCTGAAACATGGAAGTAGCTACATGCCCAATAGCCCACAGCATCATTAACAGGCGGCTCGCTCAGTGTGTGACGTGCACTTGTAGATAAAATATAGGCCTAAATTAATGAAGGTTCATTAGTACGGTTTTGTATTTCTCTGTAATGTAGCACAGTGTTAACAATGTTACTGATACTATTCTTTCTCACACCTTCAACTCAAACCACCAAAATATATCATTTAATAATTAAATTGATATCATAAACATGCGGGAGACTAGTCGACTAATGGCCCTAAATGATGACTATTGGTCAACAAGGAAAATACTTAGTTGGGGGCAGTCCTAGTTTGCAGTTACACATGGTTACGTTTAGCCAACACACACACATGGTTGGGTTAAGAAAAAAAGAACAGGGTCTGGCTTTACAGTCATACAGGAAGTGTGAAGCGAACATCAGCCTCCCGGGTGAAAGTCGTGGTTGTTGGACCCATCCACCACCCCTCCAGCCCACCCTACTCGGACTTCCGCCGCCTTAACTTTCGTTCTTGTCCCGCTGCATTTCCCCCTGATGCCTTATCTGATGCTGGAAGTCACTGACCAAGCCCCGATATTCAAGGTCTTCAGAGTGAGACCGGGTTAAATTGGGACACCCTACCCCAAGATGTGAACAGGGTAAGAGGGGTAAGGGCCAAGTGGAAGGGGCAAGGGGTTTGCAACTTAGCATAACAGTATGTAACCAATGAATGCATATTTAAGCCTCCTCTGCAGGCCTCTCATTTTCAAATCAGTCAGATATTAAGTTTCTAACCAAGTCACAGCAGGTGTTTTGCAAGCTGCAGCTTTATCAGCTACAGATAATAAAATCTACTTGAATCATCTCAGCCTCCAAAATGAGAAAACAGTCTAGTTCTGTCTGAAATAAGAAGAAATAAAATCAAATCTGTCACTGTTATCACTGTAAACTCCACCAGTGCTCTGCTAGAATGCAAAACCAGTAACTGCCAGTAACCGAGGGAGAAAGGATTGACTATATAATTACAGTGTGAGACATTATGGTCACATTATTTACCTGTACTGACTGCACACTGGCTCCACGTGAGGCTGAGCCGCCGTCAGTCCCTCAGCCTCAGATATGTACTAACACAAGTAATGAAAACTGAACCAATACATGATTTAATCATTAAAGAGCGGCAACACGGGCCAAAGTAAATCCTGATCTCCAAATGTGACCTTGTTATCCAGTTAGCTGTGTATGTGTGTATGTGTGTTTGCATATATCGCCCACTACCCCTTGAACCTGATGACTGATTAAGAGTTAGACCACTGAATAAACTGTCTGCCCAAATATCAGCGATCCAATGGGTGTGTACAAATATGTGTGTGTGTGTGTGTGTGTGTGTGTGTGTGTGTTCTCAGCAGCCACTAAAAACAGCCGCAACATTATAACACCTAATTTACTCTCGTTTAGAAGCAGGAGAGAGTGAAGGAGAGGTCGTTGGTGTTTGCTCTACGTACAGATGGAAAACAGGAAGCTGCTTATCTGAGAAAATTACACCTGGGCAGCAAAAACTGGCTCCAATATTGTGACGATTACAGTATGATGATTTTTTGTTTTTTGGAGGAGACATCTCATATTTTTTGACACTTGATGTTTTAATCCAGAGCAGCGTGCAGGGAGGTAACCAGCAGACGCTGAAGGACACTCTGACAGGATGGATGGATGGTGATGTTTATGAGACGGTCTCTCTGCTCCGTTTTCCCACAGCAATCACACAAGTTTCATCTGGTTTCATGACCACAATGCCAACACCCACATCCACAGCCCGGAGAGCTGAAAGAGTCTCCTCTTTTTAAGTGGAGAAAAAAGGATTCATGTCATGATTTGCTCTGACTTCCCTGGGAGTCAAACCCCAAACCTCCCAGTATCAGAGGGGACAGTAACCAGTAAGTTATCAGTTATTACTATACTACAGCTCACGTAAAAAAATGTTTACTGTTGTGTACTCACTGAAGCAGCCACACCATGTGGGCTTCAGGCTTCCAAATGCTTCTGCAAAGACATGATTTTGTGTAGGGGCAATCTGAAGGGTTTTTGGGTGAGAATATCAGAAATTAGAGGATGAGGCTTGCATAATTTTTGTGCCTATAAATAGCATGGACAAAATTACATATGACTATTTGGAAATGTAACGGCCTAAATGATTTAGACATGTAAATTGAAATTATTGAGGTAATGGAAGAAATGAGAGTGTATATTAAATGGGCGCATGTGTACGCAGCCCGGTCACCAGATGAAAATGATGGCACTGATGTTGGCACTGATATGTTACATTTGTACATTTCATATGTATCATATCAACAATTCTCATGAGCTAAGTTTGACACTGGGAGGTGAAGGGGTTAGTGGATGGCATATCACCAAGGCAAGACTCCTGCCAAGCTCCAGAGCACTGTTCAAGACCAACAACCAACAAAACCAGTTGTTTTTTATCCACTCACTGCTGTGTTTTTAGCGGCTTTTTGGCCATCGCACTTGGATGTTTTTTGGCAACCTGTTACTGTGTTGCCACCGGGTATAATGCCAGGAAAAGTAGGCGCTTTTTACCAAGACATTGCTGCGTCTCCTGCTGGGGTAATGCCAGGAAAAACAGTTTTTTTTCCCCAAGAAGACATCACTGTGTTTCCCCCGGCTGCAGTGCCACAAAAAGCAGTTGCTTTTTACAAAGACATCTTTGTGTTTCCAGTCAGGATAGTGTCACCAAAAGCAGTTGTTTTATACCAAGACATCACTGCATTTCCTGTTGGGATTGTGTCACGAAAAGCAGTTAGTTTTCACTGAGACATTGCTGCGTTTCCTGCCAGGATGTTGCCTCTAAAAGTGGTTGTTTCAAGGAGACATTGCTGTGTCTTCAGCAGGGATAGTGCCACGAAAAATTACTGTTTTATACCAAGACATCTCTGCATATTCTGCCAGGATAGTGCCACAAAAAGTGATTGCTTTTTACAGAGACATCATTGCATTTCTCGTTGGGATGGTGCTATGAAAAGCAGTTGCTTTTTACCAACACATTGTTGTATTTCCAGCCGGGATACTGCCACAAAAAGCAGTTGTTCTTTACCGAGACATTGCTGTGTTTCCCACTGGGATACTGCAACAAAACGCAGTTGTTTTTCATTGAAACATTGACGTATTTCCAACCAAGATAGTGCCACAAAAAGCGCTTGTTTTATACAGAGACATCATTGTGTTTCCAGCTGGGATAGTGCCACAGAAAGTAGTTGTTCTTTACAGAGACATTGCTATGTTTTGCGCTGGGATACAGCCAAAAAAGTGGTTGTTTTATACCAAGACATCACTGTATTTCCTGTTGGGATAGTGCCACAAAAAGCAGTTGCTTTTAACAGAGACATCTCTGCGTTTCCTTGTGGGGTAATGCCACAAGTCACTTTTGTGTTTCCAGCAGAGATAGTGCAACGAAAAGTGGTTGTGTTACTCCAAGACACCATGGTATTTCCAGCTGGGATAATGCCACAAAAAGTAATTGTTTTATCCGGAGACACTGATGTGTTTCCAGCCGGGATAGTGCAATGAAAAGCAGTTTTTTTTTGTTTTTTTTTACAAAGACATCACTGTGTTTCCAGCTGGGATTGTGCCACCAAACTGGGTATTTTAAAACAAAACATGATCTTTTCCTAACTGTAACAAAGTGGTTTTTGTTCCTAAATATAACCACATGTAAACAACAGCATTGTTGAAACATAAAGAAACGTAAAGTTTTCAACATATCCACATGAAAACAAAATAACTGTGCAATTGTAACATATCTGTGGTTTACAGATTCCTGGTGACTGGGTTGGTGTACATGTATGTATGTTTATGTACATACATGGATGCATTAATACTTATATAAGTATGTATGTGTATAAAAACCTGCATGTAATAAATTTATATTTCTTTCTATGTTTTAATCTATAAAGCCGATTGGGCTTCTCTGTATTAAAAACACACTTTTTAATTTTAGTATTGTTTCATTTTGTCACAGCTGTTTTCTGTGTGTGTTTACAGACTGCACTATTACACCCACAACTGTAAACATATGATGAATTGTGGCTTATGCAGCTCGCAGTGATATGATTAATGTCGTAAACTCATAAAGTATAACATAACGGGAGGATCTCAAAAGAACAAATATCAATGCAGCCATAAAGCACTCAAGATGAATTTGTCAGGAGAGGAGGAGGTTTTTTTATTTGCTCTGTTTTTTCAATTGGTAGCGCTGTCAACAAAACACACTCTCTGCACGTGGAACGCTACCTGCTGAGCCACTGGAAGGCTTTTAATGTGAAACATCTGTGCAGGAAGTGTGTGGGTTCAGTGACACTGGCTTAACACTGGACGTAAAAACTGCAAAGTAGAATCGACTGCAATTAATTAGCGAGTGAGAACAGTATTTCGGTCCAATCAGAGAGCAGCAGAGAGATGCATTATCCTGAATCTACTGAATTAATTTATTGAATTAAAAGTAAATTATGCACCCTACTGGATTCTCTCTGTAGCAGAGGTAAATAAGGGCCACTGTTTGATCTTTACAGTCATTTAAGAAATAGCCAAAATGTATTATTAAACTTTCAGAAATATTTCTCAGTCTGCTGCCTTATGTGTTCTCTTAATGTTGTTTTGTCTGTCTGGTTGGTGGTAACTGTAAAGTTCAACATTTTCCCAAAGCATTAGCCATATCTGCATGTCCTTTCCCCGTGTGTATGTGCATATGTGAGGAAGAGGCAGGCGCAGTGATACCACATATGTAAGTGTGTGTTTTAGTGCATGTGTGCGGGTCTGCTCACATGTGTAATAGATGTGTAATATCTGCTCCGAGGCCTCATCACTGCTGTCAGCACGTCAGATCTTCAGCGTGTGTGACGGAGGATTGTTTTACTGAAGTCATGCAGCTGGAACCGCCCGCCGAACCCGCTGCTCATTTTCATCTCAGCCTCGCCACCCTCGGGTTCGCTGTGGAAAACAGAGAAACGTCAACGAGACAGCAGAGTGTGTGTTTATCCGTGAGTGTAGTGTGTTTGTGAATGGGAGGGAGTGCACAGCTGAGTGTGTGCTCATCTATGAGTGTGAATGTATGTGGAGTGTCTGTCTGTGTGTCTAATTGGGGTCCTGTGGGATTCCTGTGGGATGGGAGGACAATTACACTGCTTTTTAAGAACTGGGGGAAACCAGACATGCAATTATTTTTGTAGAGCACATGAAACAAGGTCATTGTGTGTCACTATTATGATACAACACCAGTGAATTAGTTATGAAAGCATCAATTCACAAAATGGAGCAACATCAGTAGTCTCAGGTTTGCAAAAGTCAAGTTTTTTAAAAGTAATATTGACTCATGATTAAAAAGCAGGATTGGGGTAAGGTTATGATTTTATTTGTATAAGTAGATGTATGATATTGAGGCCCAGGTCTGCCTCTAAGAATGACCTCCTATGCTTTTGTCATTATCAAGTTTGTTTTTTTGTCCACAAAATGATCAAATGGTGATACAAGAAAAAAAAGTCTAAGAAATATGACTTGAAAAAATTAGAAGAAAAAATGTCTGTCTGTAATTTTGACATTAATAATTTAATGTATTATTATCAAGAATAGGAAGAAGAAGAAAAAGAAGAAGAAGAAGAAAAGTAAGTAAAAAAATAAGTAATGCTGCATATGATTTTTTATTTTTAAATTCTGAGAAGGGACAAAACAAATGTATGACTTAGGAACCTATATTTAATAATAATAAAAAATCACAATTTTTTGTCATGATAAGCAAGTATTACCAGACCATTTTTTAAAAATATAATACAAAAATAAAAATTGAAATAAAAATAAAAATAGAAATTAACCATCCTAATGAATAAATCTGAACAATTTTTACAAGTGGTATAACTAAACCTCCAAATGTATGTATATGTGTGCATGCATGTGTATTTATGAATGTTTGTAAGCATGTTTTTGAGAGATCAGTGTGTGCCTGCCTCCTCTTCTAGCTCTGCATATGTGTGTGTCAATAAACAGTGTATGTATGTGTCTACATTATAGAGTGCTGGTGTGTGTGTCTGTGTCTTGGTGTGTGTGTGTGTGTGTGTGTGCTCTCCAGCTGCAGCCCAGGCCAAGAGGGTCTGGCCCAGATGGATGTTGGGTCAAGTCCTGCTGGAGCTGCAAACACACCAAAGAGCATGAATAGCTGCAGTCGAGATCAGGTTCAGCGAACACGGAGCTACACACAGAGGAAAGCAGAGCAGAACAACCAGTGTTTACACACTGTGATAAACATGGAGGCCTGTAACCGTGAAGTGCAATGTGTCGGCTTGGCACTAATTTTCCTGCATATTCAAATTGGAAATTAGCTCAGTAAAGTGTGTGTGTGTCTGTGATCAAATTTGGAAAGGAGGGAAAACTTGTTTCATGCACTATAATAGTCATGTTATACATCTACGTAAGAGGCGCAGCGATGTATACAGAGTGCGTAGATCAGAGGGGCCAACAAGCTATCAAGGGTGTAAAATTATGAAGTTATTTTTGAGTCTAACAGTGTGGCATTTTCCCTTGTGGTTCCATCTGGAAACAACATCCGAGGACATGAAAAGACCTGAGTAATGCGTCGCTGCCATGAGAGGAGACACGAGTGCTTCCCAGCAGACATGTTTATGAGCAGATACATGATTAAGAAGAGATGGTGTGACACAAAGATGCTCCTCGTCTGTGAAATTATAGGTCATCCACGGGGAACTTCCCCTCATTTGTGTCTCTCTTCTCTCTTCCCACTGCAGACCTTCGTGCTGAACTGCGACATGGTGTCACACTCTTTTTGATTTTCCCTAAATGATTGTTGTATGGCAACTATTTTGGGTTGGAACCAAAAACCAATAATTAAATTTCAAACGTCTGCAGAATGACAATAACGACGCACAGGAGACTTCCAAGTAAAACACTAGGTGTGTCCTAACACTATTTTGCATTGAGTAAATATTCATAATTAAAAATTATTTTTTTTATTTTTATTGATAAAAAATACATTTGTGGATAATAATTCATAACTCTGACACCTTAAGCTGCAGCATGAGCAGAGCCTTTCACTTCAACTCGTCTTCCTCTTCTTTCGCGCCCACCTGACTTCCTCCCTAACACTGTGCTAAAGCTAATGTCAAACCTAGCTGTATGGTATACATACGCTATATTTACTCTTCATACTCACGAGCCAAATTAGAAACTCGTTGACTCAGAGAAAGACAGTCGGAGCAAAAACAGAAACTCCAACATCAGCTTATAATTAGCAGCATAATTAGTGGCACACACAGTCAATGGGTGACTGTGGGCCTGTCAACACCTGCTCTCTGAGGGATGTTTTTCTCCTTTCTTTTATGGTCATTTGTTATACAGATAAATCTGTACCACAAAAGTTTTAGCTTGTCATGTTTTAACTGAGGACTCGGGTCTATTCTCCTCTTGACTGCAAACACTTGAAAGACTTAATTTTCAGAGGATTATCTTTCCCATTATAAAAAATGAGACAGATTTAAGATCTGACAATAATTAAAGGAGCTATATGTAAGAAATATAAAGCAAATAGTCATAAAATCATCTTAATATGTCACAGAGAATAAGGAATAATTTTCATATAACATACTGATCTCACCGACAACAATAGTACAGCCAGAATATTTGTATCTAAAAAATTTGCGGTCCGCAAATCATGCTTATGTTTTGAATTTGTGTTTTGGCCTGTTGCGCCACCCACCGACGTCTACCAATCACACAGTCAGTAGAGTCTCAGCATCAGTTACAGTTACGACTGAGCTACAGCAGCACAGCAAGCAGCATTAGCAGTGTCCCAGTACATAGCATTAGCAGCCGGCTCCTCCTCAGCTGTATCCTGGCAGCAGCGTTCGCAGCAGAGAAGCCGGACTTGCTCCAACAGTCCGCTGGAAAACCGAAGATCAAGGACGCGGCGACGCGGCAAACAAATCAGTCTCCAGCGTGCCGCTGTCCAGCAACCTCGAATCTGTAGGGGAGGGGGGGCGGACATGACTCGCGGCAGTATTTTGAATTTGAGTGCAGTAACCGTTTTGGCCACATTCTTACATACAGCGCCTTTAATTTATATTTAATTTTATATTTCACTTTAGTTTTTTTATATATGGGATTTTTTTGTATTATTATCATCGCAATATTTCTAAATTAATACATATTTGTTGTAGATTTATAAAAATAAAAATAAAATCTTTTTTTTTTTTTTTTTTTTGGTCTAATTGCAATAAAATAATCTTGTCAAATTGGTTACTTGTTACAGGGTGAAGTCAGGTCATTTGGGACACTTTTTGGTTGATTACCAAGAAAACCACCTAAAATTCTGAAAACTACCTTGAGTGTTACTTTTATAACTTGTTATGGATCTCTGCTATATTTCTAAAAAGAAAATATGTTGCCAAGCAAAATAATTTAGAAATTTTGGACCTCCAAACACATCGAGAACCCCTTCCTCACTCCAATGACATGTTCAGGTAAAATGGGACAGTCATGTTTGATTTGTAAATGGTTAAATCCATTTATCAGTTCAGTCATTAATTCAGTAAATTATTAATGTAACCCATAGCTATTTGTTCATAAAGATTGTTAAACATTGTCTTTCCTTGTTCATTTGCTGCCAGTTTCCTTGGTGCCATATTGTCCACAATGGACATGAATGTGTGTAACAATGATGACTAATTTTGGACTACTGAGGCTGATGTGGACTCACTGCATCATCACTGCATCATCTTTAATTATTTTAAGTGACAAAAATACTATAAATGTCTGTTATATAACAGGGTGACACACCATAGCATGAGTCATGATTTAAAGGGCAGCTGGCAGACTAAAAACATGCTGGTTTCTGTGAGATAGTTTAGCTCGGGTGTCAAGGAAGGTGGTAGGTAGGCAGACTCAGCAGACTTCTTGGCTCCACCAAAGTGTAAATTTATTTACAGTGCTCGCCATTACATGTGCAAATTAGGCAAAAACAAACAAAAACCCCAACAAAAAGCCAAGCAAATAACTGAGGAAAATTAACTCATAATAAATCAAACATAAGGGCACATGTTCACAGCAGCAGGGCCTCTCCTTTCAGCCTCGAGCTCAAACCTCAACTGCCTTTATATAGAGGGACTGACTCACACTTAGACTGCCTCAGCCCCTACCAGAACAAAAGGAGGTTGCAATACACAGTAAACTTAACACAAGGAAATCAAATAAACACCTAGGATTAACTTACAAGCGCATTTACATCACTAAATGAACTACTAAAAGTAAATAATTCTAACCGGTTACTTTAAACTGCACTAAACAAAAGAAATATTCCTACAAAAAGAAAACCCCTCCACTTAGCTCAGCCCAATGATGTCATTGATGACATCACTAAAACTATAAAAGACAGGAAGTGCTGGGCGGCGGCCTTTCAAACAATCCTGCATGGTGGGTCGGAACAAAGGAACAAACAGAGGTAAGTACAGACAAAGGAACAAACAATTCGACAAAGTTCAAACCTGAAACACAATAAAAGTAACTGAAACCAACTTATGACTGTGTGTTTGTTTTAATTTACTCATGTGCATTGATGTTAACTGTAACATAACAAGAACACAAACAAACCCGGGATAGTAAGTGGTGTAATGTTACGAAAGCAATGGTAAATTATAGCAAAATAAACGTATGTAAAAGTAACATGGTATACTGTGTACATGTAAGGGACAAGTGGTGAGTGAAGGTACATTCTCACCCACTTCATCACAGTTTCACTTCAGATAAATGTCCCATTTTACCTGAAGGCATCAAGTACTCACTCAAAACCCTTTCCCATGAGAATATCAATATGACACATGGCTTACCTGGCATGTTCTGGGGCTGGTCATTATTCAAATCTTTGCTCTAACAGTGCACAAACATGTTTGGTGACTGGCTGCTAATATTTAAAGAGCCCAAAGATGTAA